GTGTGTAAAATGTGTGTGTAAGTGTGTGTGTAAAGTGTGTGTGTAAATGTGTGTGTGTAAAGTGTGTGTGTGTGTGTGTGTGTGTGTAAATGTGTGTGTGTAAATGTGTGTGTGTGTAAATGTGTGTGTGTGTGTGTGTATGTAATGTGTGTAAATGTGTGTGTGTAAATGTAAATGTGTGTGTAAATGTGTGTGTGTGTGTAAGTGTGTGTGTAAATGTGTGTGTAAATGTGTGTGTAAATGTGTGTGTGTAAGTGTGTGTGTAAATGTGTGTGTGTAAATGTGTGTGTGTGTAAAATGTGTGTGTAAATGTGTGTGTGTAAGTGTGTGTAATGTGTGTGTAAATGTGTGGTGTAAATGTGTGTGTAAGTGTGGTGTAAATGTGTGTGTAAGTGTGTGTGTAAATGTGTGTGTAAATGTGTGTGTAAAGTGTGTGTGTAAATGTGTGTGTAAATGTGTGTGTGTGTGTGTGTGTGTAAAGTGTGTGTGTAAATGTGTGTGTGTAAATGTGTGTGTAAAGTGTGTGTGTGTGTAAATGGTGTGTGTAATGTGTGTGTGTAAATGTGTGTGTGTGTGTGTAAATGTGTGTGTAATGTGTGTGTAAATGTGTGTGTATGTAATGTGTGTGTAAATGTGTGTGTGTGTAAGTGTGTGTGTGTAAATGTGTGTGTGTGTGTGTAAATGTGTGTGTAAATGTGTGTGTAAATGTGTGTGTGTAAATGTGTGTGTAAAGTGTGTGTGTGTGTGTGTGTGTAATGTGTGTGTGTGTAATGTGTGTGTGTGTGTGTGTAAATGTGTGTGTGTAAATGTGTGTGTGTGTAAATGTGTGTGTGTAAATGTGTGTGTAAATGTGTGTTGTGTGTAATGTGTGTGTAAGTGTGTGTGTGTGTGTGTGTAAATGTGTGTGTGTGTAAATGTGTGTGTAAATGTGTGTGTAAATGTGTGTGTGTAATGTAAGTGTGTGTGTAAATGTGTGTGTGTAAATGTGTGTGTGTGTGTGTGTGTAAATGTGTGTGTGTAAATGTGTGTGTGTAAAGTGTGTGTGTGTAAATGTGTGTGTGTGTGTGTAAGTGTGTGTGTAAATGTGTGTGTAATGTGTGTGTGTGTGTGTAAATGTGTGTGTGTAAATGTGTGTGTGTGTGTGTAAATGTGTGTGTGTAAAGTGTGTGTGTAAATGTGTGTGTAATGTGTGTGTAATGTGTGTGTAAATGTGTAAATGTGTGTGTAATGTGTGTGTGTAAATGTGTGTGTGTAAATGTGTGTGTGTGTGTGTAAATGTGTGTGTAAAGTGTGTGTGTGTGTGTGTAAATGTGTGTGTGTAAATGTGTGTGTAAGTGTGTGTAAATGTGTGTGTAAGTGTGTGTGTAAATGTGTGTGTAAATGTGTGTGTAAGTGTGTGTGTAAATGTGTGTGTAAATGTGTGTGTAAATGTGTGTGTGTAATGTGTGTGTGTGTAAATGTGTGTGTAAGTGTGTGTGTAAATGTGTGTGTAAGTGTGTGTGTGTAATGTGTGTGTGTGTGTGTGTGTGTGTGTGTAAATGTGTGTGTGTAAGTGTGTGTGTAAATGTGTGTGTAAGTGTGTGTGTAATGTGTGTGTGTGTGTGTAAATGTGTGTGTGTAAATGTGTGTGTAAGTGTGTGTTTCATAAATCTGCTCCATCACCAAATCTTCAACCAACAAACTCCACAAAGGAGAAACATTCTTCATGAACAATTTATCCACAACATCAAGAGAAGAAAGAACAAAACTTAAAGGAAACAACGAGCCACATTAGTCACACAACAAACTCAACTCATGTTCTGATCATGAAGAAAACAGAAGAACTTGGCCACAGATGAGGCTGTGCAATCACTGACCAAGACTCGTTATAGTTACTATGAGTTTGGGGATAAGCCTAACAAGATACTTTCCCACCAGATCCGGCAGTCAACAGCAGCTCAGCATATTACCGAAGTCTATGTCTCTGATGTACTTACAATTAACCCACAAACCATTAACGATACATTTAAAGACTATTATTCCTCCTATACACAGCTGAGTTTCTGCCGGATAACAACTTTTATGAAACTTTTTTTTCACATTTTACCATTCCTACAGTTGCACCAGATAGAGCTGCTGAACTGGATGTGCCTTTCACCGCTGAGGAACTCAGGAATGCTGTCATGTCTATGCAGAGTGGGAAAAGTCCTGGTCCTGATGGTTTTCCATCAGAATTTTATAAGGTTTTTATTGACAAACTGTCCCCCCTGATGCTCAACATGCTGCGGGAATCCACTGATTTGGGTGTCCTCCCGGTCACTTTACGGCAAGCTACCATCTCCTTTATTTTAAAGAAAGACAAAGATTCCCGTTTCTGCAGCAACTACCTGTCCCATCTCATTGCTGTGTGCAGATATTAAAGTTCTGGCTAAAATGCTAAAAAGCGAATAGAGTCAATAATGCCTACAATAATTAATCCAGACCAGACAGGCTTTATTAAGTCCAGACATTCGTATCACAATATCAGGCGCTTTATGGACATCTTATACTCGCCTTCAACCTCTGACACCCCTGAAATAGTCATCTCCATGGACGCTGAAAAGGCTTTTGACCGGGTAGAATGGCCCTATTTATTTTACACCCTGAAACGCTTTGGTTTTGGCGATAAGTTCATATCGTGGATCAAATTGTTATATGCTCGGCCCATGGCACGAGTGCGCACTAATAATAATTACTCTGAATATTTCTCCTTGGGCCGTGGAACTCGGCAGGGTTGCCCCCTGTCCCCCCTCCTGTTTGCAATAGCCATAGAGCCACTTGCAGCAGCCATCAGATCCAGCTCTATGCATGGCATTTTGGGGGTGGCTCAGTACATAAAGTAGCCTTATACCCTGATGACCTGTTACTGTTTGTTTCAGATCCAGTTATCTCCATGCCCCCGGTTCTGACTCTGCTAAAGGAGTTTGGACAGATTTCAGGGTATAAATTAAACCTTAATAAAAGTGAACTCCTTCCTGTTAACCCTGCTGCCATTACATACCCTCTTTCCAGCTGACCTTTTAAAACATCTGCACATAGTTTTAAATATTTGGGTATTCATGTAACCAGGGAATTTTCAGATCTTTTCAAGACCAACTTTAATCCATTACTCGACCAGTTAACTCTAGACCTGCACCGTTGGTCCATGCTGCCTCTCTCTCTGGCGGGTAGAATTAGTTGCATCAAAATGAACATACTACCTAAATTACTTTATCTTTTTCAGTGTATACCAGTGTTTATTCCTAAACGTTTTTTTCAGTCACTTGACAGCACTATTGCACAGTTTTTGTGGAACAAGAAACCTCCCAGAATACGAAGGATTATACTGCAAAGAGATAAAGAAAATGGAGGTCTTGCCTTACCAAATTTTTTATTCTATTCCTGGGCTGCTAACATCCGTACAATGTTGTTTTGGTGCCATACTAATGATGTCATGCCAGTTTGGCTGCCAATAGAGGAGATCTCATGTGACTCTGCTTCTCTACTTTCCCTTTTGTGTCTACCCCTTAAATCATCTCCCACGTCATACTCGAATAACATTATAGTTAAGAACTGTCTTAAAATTTGGACCCAGGTTAAAGAACATTTTGGATTTCAGGGAATACCTCTTCTGTCCCCTTTCCACTGTGACCCTTTGTTTCCCCCATCATTAACTGATGGGACATTTGCTGTATGGAGGAGCCATGGACTGGTTTCTGTAAAAAACTTTTACATAAAGGGGGTTTTGGCTTCTTTTGCCCAATTAGCCTTAAACTTTAATCTACCCAACTCCCACTTCTTTAGGTTTCTACAGGCCCGAAAGTTTCATTGGTAGACACTTCCCCAGTGCTCCTGACATTCCTGATGGTACCATCATGGATACTATCATGGAGATCAGACCCTCTCTGAAAGGTGCAATTTCCAAAATATATAGCCTATTGTTTTCCGCTCTCAAAGTAACATCTGATCATCTTCGTGTGGCCTGGTCTGAGGAACTTGGTGTGGAGATTGATGAGGAACAGTGGAGGTCCGTCCTCAGGCACGTCCACTCTTCTTCAGTCTGCGCCCGACACTGCATCATTCAGTGTAAAGTGGTCCATAGAGTGAAGTGCACTGGTCAAAGAGTAAGTTTGCCCGAATCTTCCCAGGCACTGATCCTAACTGTGTAAAATGCAAATCGGGCCCAGCTAATCTCACTCACATGTTTCTAACCTGTCCTGCATTATCAACATATTGGAAAACTATTTTTGAGTCTCTATCAGTTGTTTGCAGTGCTAGAGTTCGCCAGTCCCCACTGACTGCTCTCTTTGGGATTCTTCCAGCCGGTCACTCCTTGTCACCCTGTTTTGTTGACCTGGTGGCTTTTCTCACACTGTTGGTCAGGCGGTTTGTCCTAATGCGCTGGAAAGACCCTCACCCACCCACTCACTCCCAGTGGATAAAAGATGCCCTTTCATTTATGAAACTGGAAAAAATAAGACACTCTCTCAAAGGCTCTGGCTCTAAATGTACTGAAGCCTGGTTACCTTTTATTGATCATGTAATGTCTCTGACATTGGAGGTGACCCTATGAGCTGTGTTGCCCTACAGCATGTATCCATGGGTATCAAGTGATTGATATAATCTAAGACAAATGTTTTAGTAGCACATATTCTGTTTTTGTTTTTTTGTAGGCCCTTTTTCTGTTTTTTGTTTTGTTTTAGTTTTTTTTAAAGGTGTGTAAATTGTGAAGTATTTACATTGTATACCAGCCTTGAATATTATACATCTTTATATAATTTGTCTTTTATATTTTGAAAAAGCATAAATAAATCATACATTAAAAAAAAAAAACAGAAGAACTTGTTCACTCAGACTCATTCTACTGTTACAATGAAGAATCAGTTTCATGATGTGGAGATTTGCACAGACACAGAGATTTGTGACGTTTAAATGTGAGACATAGAATCGGTGAACATCTGTAGCATTGGATCATGAGACTGTGGTGGAGGTGTTGCACTCACCACGTCCAGGATGGCGTAGACGATGATGTCCAGCAGCACGTCTGTGGGTTTGGTGTGGTTCCACACGGGGCGGCTCAGTGTGAACAGGTCCGACTTCTTGCTCAACTGAATGTGCTCCAGGACTGAGTGGTACGAGCAGTTCTGCTTCGGACGCCTCATCTGTCGACCCGGACGCCTCATCTGTCGACCCGGACGCCTCATCTGTCGACCCGGACGCCTCATCTGTCGACCCGGACGGTAAATCTGACACAAAGACACAAGAAGCTCTTTACATATGGTTGTAGTGATGCAGTGTCACACATGTACTCGAGTATCCCGGTTCTGAGCTGTGCCATAGTTACCATAGCAACCAGTGTAAATCTCCAGGACACAGGTTCCTGTTTCTCTGAGCGCCTGGAAACTCCACGTCCAGAATCCTGCCATAACCGTGAGACTCGTAACTCGCGCTGTTCTTTAGACTTTTATAAAACACTGCAAGAAAAAAGATCTTGTTTCCTTGGAGAAGTGTTTAATGCCATACTGTGGGACATTAACTCTGCTCAGACAGATTCTCTGATATTTGGGAGTCACAAAGTCTCAAGGATCCATTTTGGCGTGTGCAGCACATGGACCAATCACAGAGCAGCGTTGTGGTTTAAGATGGAGGTCGGCCTGATGGACCTGGCAGGTGGCTCAGACTGACCACGCCTCCCGTCGCCCGGCGCTCTCTGGACGAGGGGGTTCCAGGTGTGTGAAAGGAGGAACGCTCCGTCATCTCGGTTCATGGCGTCCGTGCCTCGTTTCCTGATTTCACCGTCCTCCCTGATCCAGCGTTTGGACTTGTTGTTTTCCGATCCGATGACCCGAGCCCCGACCCGATCCAGAATGTGGTTATTTCTTTTACAGTGTCTGATTTGGTGGATTTGAGGTTTTCCTTTTTTGCTTTGTCTTTTCATGTTCTGCTGAGTCTCCCTGATGTTTTCTTTTGGTGTTCCTTTTTTCTGATGTGTGTGTGATTTATTGCATTTATTATGTTGGATTTCGTAGAGGGCGGTGCACTTTTGTTCTTGTGGGATTTAATCTTTGGGGCGTACGAGGTGCTGGAGGAGTTTTTTGTGTGGTTTAACTTTGTGTCGTAGGATTCGAGACCGTTTTTTTATGATCTTTGACTCAAGTGCATTTGGACTCGGTTTTGTCTCGGTCTTGAAGGCGCTTGGTCTCGGTCTCGGTCTTGAAGGCACTTGGTCTCGGTCTTGAAGGCACTTGGTCTCGGTCTCGGTCTTGAAGGCACTTGGTCTCGGTCTCGGTCTTGAAGGCACTTGGTCTCGGTCTCGGTCTTGAAGGCACTTGGTCTCTGGTCTCGGTCGTCTTGAAGGCGGCTTGGCTTGGTCTCGGTCTTGAAGGCGCTTGGTCTCGGTCTCGGTCTTGAAGGCACTTGGTCTCGGTCTCGGTCTTGAAGGTGCTTGGTCTCGGTCTTGAAGGCGCTTGGTCTCGGTCTCGGTCTTGAAGGCACTTGGTCTCGGTCTCGGTCTTGAAGGTGCTTGGTCTCGGTCTCGGTCTTGAAGGTGCTTGGTCTCGATCTTGAAGGCGCTTGGTCTCGGTCTCGGTCTTGAAGGCGCTTGGTCTCGGTCTTGAAGGCGCTTGGTCTCGGTCTCGTCTCGGACTTGAGGTCTGGCGCTTGTCCAGTGAGATCATATTTGATTCCAGCCGGTGAATGTGCAGAGGTTTAGTTTCGCTGTAAAACCAGTGTAAAATGTGACTGTAAATGTGATAAACTTGAAAACACTTTCTTCACTTTGAAACAGTTTTGTGTAAAGTGCCAGTGGAATCGGATTAAAGAAGAGGTTCTCCAACTGTGGGTTAGGGTCCAAAAAGTGGCTCAGTGTTTATGTGCAGAACAGTTTGTTTGGATTATTTTAAGCCTAAATGAACATAACCAGATCAAATGGTTATAAAAACATTGACATAAATGTGTCAAAGTAATTGTAAAATACAAATAAATGTAGGACATTACAAACATGGTCTTGATTTGGTCTCGATGGGCCGTGGTCTTGGTCTTGTCTCAGTCTGGACCCTCAGTGGTCTCGGTCTTGACCTGGTCTGGGACCCTGTGGTCTGGACTGTGACACTGGTTTGACTCCAGTGTTTAAGTTTGTTTTTTTCATGGGTTCAGTTCAGGGGTCTGTTGGTTTTATTGATGACTTGTTGTGTGTCTTTGTTTCTGGTCTGTTGGGATATTGACATTGACATAGTTTGAGTGTTTGTGTGACGTGTCTCTCCTCCTCTTCCTCCTCTTCCTCCTCTTCGCTGTCGGTCTGTGGAGACTGTGGCTCCAGTCGTGTCCTCACTACTGCACTTTTTATTCAAGTCCAGTTTTTAGATCATTTTGTTGGACTAAAGAAAATTGAAAATTATTTTTATTGTATTTTTTAAATTTATTTCTATTGCATTTTATTTTGACTTGTACATTTACATTTATATAATTCTGTCTGATTATTTTCTGTCTTTTTGCTTCTTATTTAGAATGAATTCTTAACATTTCTACTTTTTCTTTTTGTTCTTCTGATAAACTGATGTGTGAGCTCCTGTGTCTGACTCGTTTCCCTGTGGATCAATAAAGTCTGAGTTTAAATAAATGTGAACCTAACCTGTGGGCGCGGCGTTGTGTCCCTCTGTGCCACAGGGCAGACGGGGATCATTAAAGTGAAGCGTTGGCGGCCCAGAGTCCCGGGTCACAGGAGGACGCGCCCGGGTGATGGACGCGTCTAATGCAGCGGATGTACAGAAGGATGTGGGCACAGACTCTTATCTCCATTAGAACTGAAGAGTCCAAAACCACAACATCTCACCACAGCTCCTCCCCACCAGAGACGGACGCTTCAGCACTAACAGGGTTAAAAAGCTCCACTGCGGGACATTTCCTCAGTAATCCTCCGGCCGAGCTCCTGACCCGTCCACAGCCGAGACGCACGACCAGATTCACAACAGACACAATTCTCCGTCCAAAAAGCTCAACATGAGACGCTTCAAAAGTACAGACCAGAAGTGGCACCAAGTCGCTGTTTAACAAGTCTCAAGGAGGGTCCCAAGTCTCTGGCCTCAAGTCCCAGTCAAGTCCCAAGTCTCTGACCTCAAGTCCCAGTCAAGTCCCAAGTCTCTGGTCTCAAGTCCCAGTCAAGTCCCAAGTCTCTGGTCTCAAGTCCCAGTCAAGTCCCAAGTCTCTGGCCTCAAGTCCCAGTCAAGTCCCAAGTCTCTGACCTCAAGTCCCAGTCAAGTCCCAAGTCTCTGACCTCAAGTCCCAGTCAAGTCCCAAGTCTCTGGCCTCAAGTCCCAGTCAAGTCCCAAGTCTCTGGCCTCAAGTCCCAGTCAAGTCCCAAGTCTCTGGCCTCAAGTCCCAGTCAAGTCCCAAGTCTCTGGCCTCAAGTCCCAGTCAAGTCCCAAGTCTCTGGTCATTTTTTTGGTGACTTGAGTTTGACTCGAGTCCAGGTCAGGTCTTTCAAGTCTCACCTCTTGTACAGGAAAAATTATTTTTACAAATACAAACGTGCATTAAAAATATTAAACACGATTACACAACATTTAGAGAAAAAATGAAAACAAAATGTTGAAAATCTTGCTGTAAATGTTTGAGCTCATATTTGGTTGAGTCTAAATAAAATAAAATAAACAACAAACGAGGGATAAATGTGCAGAAATTGAGACAATTTAGAAAAAAAAAAAAAGAGAAAAGTGAATTAAATCCATAATTCTGAGTGAAAGTGGATTATTGTTAAAGTATAAAATGGTGTAAAGTGACTCACGGATGGAGAGGAGCAGGCAGCCCAGAGCAAACAGCTTCATGCTGAAACTCAAGTGTCGTCTGCACAATGAAGCACAAACAGAGAATCTGAAGTGAACAGGAGGAGCTACAGTGGCCCACAAGCTCCAAACACAAACACCACATCTGAGCACCAGTTTGGTTCTTTTACTGAAAGAGGAAGAAAATGCTCCTTTAAACTCATGTCACAAGAGTTTCTCTTCACCCGCATCTCACAGTTCACAGTTCTGGTTTAGTCCTGGTTCAGACCTGGTTTAGTCCTGNGGTCTCGGTCTTGAAGTCTCGGTCTTGTCTCTGGTCTTCTTGGTCTTCTTGGTCGGTCTCGGTCTTGAAGGCTTGGTCTCGGTCTCGGTCTTGAAGGCGCTCTGGTCTCGGTCTTGAAGCTTGGTCTTGGTCTCGGTCTTGAAGGCGTCTTGGTCTCGGTCTCGGTCTTGAAGGCGCTTGGTCTCGGTCTTGAAGGCGCTCTGGTCTCGGTCTCGGTCTTGAAGGTCTTGCGGTTCGGTCTCGGTCTTGAAGGTCTTCAGGGTCTTGTCTGGTCTCGGTCTTGAAGGCGCTTGGTCTCGGTCTCGTCTCGGACTTGAGGTCTGGCGCTTGTCCAGTGAGATCATATTTGATTCCGGCTGGTGAATGTGCAGAGGTTTAGTTTCGCTGTAAAACCAGTGTAAAATGTGACCGTAAATGTGATAAACTTGAAAACACTTTCTTCACTTTGAAACAGTTTTGTGTAAAGTGCCAGTGGAATCGGATTAAAGAAGAGGTTCTCCAACTGTGGGTTAGGGTCCAAAAAGTGGCTCAGTGTTTATGTGCAGAACAGTTTGTTTGGATTATTTTAAGCCTAAATGAACATAACCAGATCAAATGGTTATAAAAACATTGACATAAATGTGTCAAAGTAATTGTAAAATACAAATAAATGTAGGACATTACAAACATGGTCTTGATTTGGTCTCGATGGGCCGTGGTCTTGGTCTTGTCTCAGTCTGGACCCTCAGTGGTCTCGGTCTTGACCTGGTCTGTGGACCCTGTGGTCTGGACTGTGACACTGGTTTGACTCCAGTGTTTAAGTTGTGTTTTTTCATGGGTTCAGTTCAGGGGTCTGTTGGTTTTATTGATGACTTGTTGTGTGTCTTTGTTTCTGGTCTGTTGGGATATTGACATTGACATTGTTTGAGTGTTTGTGTGACGTGTCTCTCCTCCTCTTTCTCCTCTTCCTCCTCTTCCTCCTCTTCCTCCTCTTCGCTGTCGGTCTGTGGTGACTGTGGCTCCAGTCGTGTCCTCACTACTGCACTTTTTATTCAAGTCCAGTTTTTAGATCATTTTGTTGGACTAAAGAAAATTGAAAATTATTTTTATTGTATTTTTTAAATTTATTTCTATTGCATTTTATTTTGACTTGTACATTTACATTTATATAATTCTGTCTGATTATTTTCTGTCTTTTTGCTTCTTATTTAGAATGAATTCTTAACATTTCTACTTTTTCTTTTTGTTCTTCTGATAAACTGATGTGTGAGCTCCTGTGTCTGACTCGTTTCCCTGTGGATCAATAAAGTCTGAGTTTAAATAAATGTGAACCTAACCTGTGGGCGCGGCGTTGTGTCCCTCTGTGCCACAGGGCAGACGGGGA